TTTATGCACCTATAAATACCCATGTACCTATAACTTGGTGTTCTAACGTGTATTAAGCAAGGCTGTAGTGCGTGTTTACATACAAGTGTCGAAGAGAAGGCCATTAGTGTGTCTTGAAGTCACAGTGTCTAAGAGAAGGCCCTGAGTGCGTCTGTTAGTCACACCTATCGTGTGTAGTCGAAGGCCCTGAGTGCGCGATTACTCACAATCGAAATAGACAAGAACTGCGATCAACACTTCGATCACTCATCACTGCGCGCCCGCCCTAGCGAGGGCCCGCTCGCTCGTCTCGCACGCCATCAACCCGGCCTTGCCTTTGCTCGTTCGCAGGCCCGTGCGCTGGCCATTTTCGCTAGCCGTGCGCGCACTACACTCAAGTGCGCGTAGTTCTGCTGCCCCTCGCACCATTCTTTTGCGAGCGTGATATGCACGACTTACGGCGTTCTTGAGCTGCCTAGCCACTTCCATATCACCAGCGCGCCCCGCGTGCAGCACGCGCACACAGCGTGCCCAGCAGCAGGCCTGTGCGCCCAGTCGGCGCCAGTCGTTCCCAGCAGCACGCCAGCGCGCCCAATCAGCCTCGGGTCGTGCCCAGCAGCACGCCTGTGCGCTCAGTTGGCGCCAGTCGGCCTCGGGTCGTGCCCAGCAGCACGTCGTGCACTCAATTGGCGCCAGTCAGCCTCGGGTCGTGCCCAGCAGTACGCCCATGCGCTCAGTCGGCGCCAGTCGTGCCCAACAGCACGCCAGCGTGCCCAGTCGGCCTGAGGTCGTGCCCAGCAGCACGCCCGTGCACACAGTCGAACTAGGTCACGCCCAGCAACACCCAAGTGGCCAGTTGTGCCTTTGCCAGTGCCAAGGACCGCGCCAGTCGCACCCAGTAGTGCCCAGCGCCGCACCAGGGCATCAGCAGGCCCTGCGCGGGACCGAGCCCAGTCAGTCCGAGCAGCATCCGACTGCCCGGCCCACAGTGAGCCGGTGGTCCGGCCAGTCAGCAAACCGACCAGTTTTACCAGTGGTTTTGAGTCAGTTTTGGTTCGAGTTTTTCGGTCCAAGTCTTATTCTGAAATTTTAGTATTTTTTTCAAGCCAATCAGTTCAGTTTAATTATATCAGCTTATTTGCCGGACTTAATATGATTTTAGCGAACCCTTAGAGTGTTCCTTTATATCCTGATAAGTTATCTGATAGAATCGAGCATCCTAGCATCTTTTTTAGTATATTACGAGCATAATACTTAGTATTCGTTTGCTTATATTCTTATGTAGCTTGAGGAGCCAGCAATTGTAATACCCCGTTTGAATAAGTATTATTTGAGGTTATTATTTATTACAGTTATTATTATTATTATTATTATTATTATTATTATTATTATTTAATTGCCTAATTAATTGTTGCTATATTTATTACCATTATTATAAATATTATTGCTAAATGCCTAATTATTTGTTATTATTATTAATATTATTGCCTTGATTATTATTATTACTATTATTATTATTATTATTTGTTAATTGTCTATTTGTCTAATTTACTAAGTATTATATTTGATTATAATGTGTTTAATTGTGTATTATTAATAAAATATTAATTATGTGTATTAAATATATATTTGTCCAGTTTATTTTTATTTATTATTAGTTGTCAATCGAATTGATCGAGAGTTTTTGTTATTGCGTTTATTCTCGGCCCAATAGAGATTAGTTTGTAGCCTCAATTGTGGTATGACAATTTTGGGCCCTTTTGCTTATATTTGATATCCTTGTAGGCCCAATGGCATAACTTCTCAAGCCATTGAGAGATGAAATTTTGGCCCGTTAAAAATATCTGCAACCTTATTTTCCCCACGTTTGAGAGAATTGGTCGTCTCCTTACTCCGCTCCTCAAGATTTTGTTGCGATTTTTCTGTATCCTCGGCGGACTTCTCTCAATTCCAGATTTATAACACTTCCAGGAGTCCTCATCTCAAATCGTTCAAATCATATTCTCATATCTCTCTCGCGTACCTGCTTCGCTAAAA